CAAGCCTCCATTGGGGATGGAAAAGGGTAGCAGCCACAGGGCACAATAATTATTTCTCGAAAACTGTTCAGCGTGACATCACCAAATTTTCACAGAAAACTACAAGAATGGTGGCCAATTTGATGATATACATCAAATCGCCCTACAAGCCTTCATTGGGGATGAAAAGGGGTAGCAGCCACAGGGCAAATTATTTAATTGCTCGGAAACTGTTCACTGTAACACCACCAAATTTTCACAGAAAACTACTACAATTATAGTCCATTTGATGATATACATCAAATCACCCCACAAGCCTTTATTGGGGATGAAAGGGGTAGCAGCCTTACGGCACAATAATAAATTTCTCGAAATCTGTTCACTGTAACACCACCAAATTTTCACAGAAGACTACTACAATTGTAGTCCATTTGATGATATACATCAAATCACCCCACAAGCCTTTATTGGGGATGAAAGGGGTAGCAGCCTTACGGCACAATAATAAATTTCTCGAAATCTGTTCACTGTAACACCACCAAATTTTCACAGAAGACTACTACAATTGTAGTCCATTTGATGATATACATCAAATCACCCCACAAGCCTTCATTGGGGATGAAAGGGGTAGCAGCCTTACGGCACAATAATAAATTTCTCGAAATCTGTTCACTGTAACACCACCAAATTTTCACAGAAGACTACTACAATTGTAGTCCATTTGATGATATACATCAAATCACCCCACAAGCCTTCATTGGGGATGAAAGGGGTAGCAGCCTTACGGCACAATAATAAATTTCTCGAAATCTGTTCACTGTAACCACCAAATTTTCACAGAAGACTACTACAATTGTAGTCCATTTGATGATATACATCAAATCACCCCACAAGCCTTCATTGGGGATGAAAGGGGTAGCAGCCTTACGGCACAATAATAAATTTCTCGAAATCTGTTCACTGTAACCACCAAATTTTCACAGAAGACTACTACAATTGTAGTCCATTTGATGATATACATCAAATCACCCCACAAGCCTTCATTGGGGATGAAAAGGGGTAGCAATCTTAGAGCACAATGATAAATTTCTCGAAAACTGTTCACTGTAACACCACCAAATTTTCACAGAAGACTGCTACAATTGTAGTCCATTTGATGATATACATCAAATCACCCCACAAGGCTTCATTGAGGATGAAAAGGGGTAGCAGCCTTAGGGCACAATGATAAATTTCTCGAAAACTGTTCACTGTAACACTACCAAATTTTCACAGAAGACTACTACAATTGTAGTACATTTGATGATATACATCAAATCGCCCCATATGCCTTCATTGGGGTTGAAAACGGGTAGCAGCCACAGGGCAACTTAATTAATTTCTCGAAAACTGTTCACTGTGACATTACAAAACTTTTACAGAAAACTACTAAAACTATGGTCAATTTAATGATATACATCAAATCGCCCCATAAGCCTTCATTGGGGATGAATAGGGGTAGCAATCACAGGGCACAATAATTAATTTCTCGAAAACGGTTCACTGGGACACCACCAAATTTTCACAGAAAGCTACTAGTATAGTGGTCAATTTGATGATATACAGCAAGTTGCCCCACAAGCCTTTAGTGGGGATGAAAAGGAGTAGCAGTTATAGTGTAGAGCAATTAATTTCTCGAAAATAGTTCACTTTGACAGTAAATTGGAAAATTAAATTTTGAAACGATCATGCTATAAGTTGTGATAAGCCGTCTAAATTACCTATTACAAATAAAATCTGTACCTAATATTTGCCATTTTTTCTTCAGAAGATAAGAAATAATACCCAGGTGCTGGTAATTGGTTAGTTGGCAGAGTAGTTTATTTCCCACAGTATCATAAATACCTAATAAAAATAGTTTGTGTGATGTTATCCTGAGTTTCCCCAGCCACGGTTTATAAGGTGCGGGAAATCATATTTGGGATGGAAGAGCTCAGATCACCGAATTGTGGGCGGAAATGTATACTACATTAGCATGTTTATTGCACCTCGCTTATAAAAAAATAAAAATAGAAGGACTAGGGGAACCTATAAGCAACTCAGAATCACCCCCGTTATTGTCTGTCTGTCTGTCCATATAAGTGGTGGTAAAAAATATTATTTAAAAATGTTGAGCCAAATTTTCTACTTTATGCCGGAAAAAATTTTTTATCCTATTTAAACGTTCGTGTTCACAAAAATTTTGAAATACGTCGGCGAGAGGAACCTATAAGCAACTCAAAACCTCCCCCGTTTTTCTTTGGTTGACCGTCTAGATGGTTGTAAAATATTATAATTTAAATATTTATAGCAGAATTTTCAATTATAACCACCTAGATGGGCAACCAAAGAAAAACGAGGATAGTTCTGAGTTGCTTACCTATCGTGAATTTTTGTGAACACGAACATTTAAATGGGGTAGAAAATTTTGTTTCCGTCATAAAGTTTAAAATTCTGCTCGAAATATTTAAATAATAATATTTTACAACCACCTAGACGAGAAACCAAAGAAAAACGAGGGTGATTCCTAGTTGCTTATAGGTCCTTCTCGCCGACGTATTTCAAAATTTTTGTGAACATGAACGTTTCGATATTGTAGAATTTCTTTTCCAGCATAAAGTTGAATATTATTGTCAACATTTTTAAATAATAATTTTTTACCACCGCTTAGTTGGGCAGGCAGACAATAACGGGGGTGGTTCTGAGTGGTTTATAGGTTCCCTTAGCCCTTCTATTTTTATTTTTTTATAAGCGAGGTGCAATAAACATGCAAATGTAGTATACATTTCCGCCCACAATTCGGTGATATGAGCTCCTCCACCCCAAATATGATTTCCCGCACGTCATAAACCGTGGCTGGGGAAATTCGGGATAACATCACACAAACTATTTTTATTAGGTATTTATGATACTGTGGGAAATAAACTACTCTGCCAACTAACCAATTACCAGCACCTGGGTATTATTTCTTATCTTCTGAAGAAAAAATGGCAAATATTAGGTACAGTTTTTATTTGTAATAGGTAATTTAGACGGCTTATCACAACTTATAACATGATCGTTTCAAAATTTAATTTTCCAATTTACTGTCAAAGTGAACTATTTTCGAGAAATTAATTGCTCTACACTATAACTGCTACTCCTTTTCATCCCCACTAAAGGCTTGTGGGGCAATTTGCTGTATATCATCAAATTGACCACTATACTAGTAGCTTTCTGTGAAAATTTGGTGGTGTCCCAGTGAACCGTTTTCGAGAAATTAATTATTGTGCCCTGTGATTGCTACCCCTATTCATCCCCAATGAAGGCTTATGGGGCGATTTGATGTATATCATTAAATTGACCATAGTTTTAGTAGTTTTCTGTAAAAGTTTTGTAATGTCACAGTGAACAGTTTTCGAGAAATTAATTAAGTTGCCCTGTGGCTGCTACCCGTTTTCAACCCCAATGAAGGCATATGGGGCGATTTGATGTATATCATCAAATGTACTACAATTGTAGTAGTCTTCTGTGAAAATTTGGTAGTGTTACAGTGAACAGTTTTCGAGAAATTTATCATTGTGCCCTAAGGCTGCTACCCCTTTTCATCCTCAATGAAGCCTTGTGGGGTGATTTGATGTATATCATCAAATGGACTACAATTGTAGCAGTCTTCTGTGAAAATTTGGTGGTGTTACAGTGAACAGTTTTCGAGAAATTTATCATTGTGCTCTAAGATTGCTACCCCTTTTCATCCCCAATGAAGGCTTGTGGGGTGATTTGATGTATATCATCAAATGGACTACAATTGTAGTAGTCTTCTGTGAAAATTTGGTGGTGTTACAGTGAACAGATTTCGAGAAATTTATTATTGTGCCGTAAGGCTGCTACCCCTTTCATCCCCAATGAAGGCTTGTGGGGTGATTTGATGTATATCATCAAATGGACTATAATTGTAGTAGTTTTCTGTGAAAATTTGGTGGTGTTACAGTGAACAGTTTCCGAGCAATTAAATAATTTGCCCTATGGCTGCTACCCCTTTTCATCCCCAATGAAGGCTTGTAGGGCGATTTGATGTATATCATCAAATTGGCCACCATTCTTGTAGTTTTCTGTGAAAATTTGGTGATGTCACGCTGAACAGTTTTCGAGAAATAATTATTGTGCCCTGTGGCTGCTACCCTTTTCCATCCCCAATGGAGGCTTGTAAGGTGGTCTATGTTATATAGTCACATTGGCCACAATTTTTTGCTAATTTCTCTGAAAAGTTGATGAACGGCATCCACCCCAGAAATGATTTTTTTTATTCCCTAACTGTCACCTCGTTTCATCCCTTAAATTATATGGTTTCTCTCACATCACCGGATTGGTCAGAATATGGAATATGGGTACCTTTTGTTAAAGATGTGATAATGAAGTCACAATGAACCGTTTGTAAGATACTTATTAATATTTTCATTTTGCAGTTTATTTGTTTTTAATCTATAAATTTCTTATGGTCTTATTTCCTAACTCGTGAGCTAAAAGTTAAAAATTTTGAACAGTAATGACAAACGCTAATTATATATTTCAGTGTTTCCTAAAATATTACAATGTTAGAAATAGTTAATTATGATGACCCCTCTTCTACGCCAATGGGTTAGGTATTCGGGTATATTCGGAAACTTTAGCTGCTAGATTTGGCTGCTGTTTTCACACCGGTAACCAATCCATTAGAGACAAATTCATATATTTCTAGAAATCAGTATATTTTAATTATTATCTTCAGAATTGTATATTTCTGAATACAGGAAGTTATATTCTACAAGAATGTGGAATTATAGGAATTGTGTTTAAATAATTCATATGACACCATTATGTGTAATCTATTGAATGTGGGGATATTTGAAAAATAATCTTTTTAAAATGCTTATTCGGCATGTCTGTGAAAATATCATGTGACTTTATATCTTTGGAAATAATGAATTTATTCCCTACTTTTCATCCACACTGTATTTTTCTAAACAATATTATAAATATTTTAGGCATAGAAACCTCACACAGATCTGATACTTCAGCATCTCTTCAAGCTACAAGTGTTGTGCAACCAGCTGTTGAGGCAGATTTACATAGGTTTTCAGAATTTCACGGGAAAGGCGTAGTTTTGAATGAGTGTGGCAGGTTGGCTTCAAAATGTAAAGATTTCAGTAGTTGCATTATATTCAGTGCTACACCTTTATGTCAAGATGAAATGTTTGAAGTTGCTTTAATGACTTTATGGAAGCACATGGCAGGCACTTTTTCTGTGGGAGTTACCACATCACTTCCTTCTGTGTGTAACAGCATACCAAGTGATTCTTATTATCTGACTGGTAAATAACTTCAAATATTCAAAATGTATTTATTAAGGTAGTTATCAGCTAAATGAACACTAGTTAAGATAATCATGAAACTTTCAGCAAAATTAATTATGCACCTGATAGATACTGATACCTGATACTTTTGCAAAATTTCAGCGCATTAGTTTCTGAGTTATACCCTTGACTATATACACTCAGACGTATCAAGCTAATAGGAGAACTTGTTGCCCGGTTTGGGAAACCAACTCTCGCCCGATGGGAAACGAACTCAAAAAGGACATGTGCGCTTGAACCATTCGGTAATAGATGGCGCAATTTTATGTGCCGATAGTGTTCAATTTGCATAGCCAAATTTGATATAGGATCTAAGCTCCACCCATTAAAGATGATTGGTTCTTGTATATTATATATTAATTATAGTTTAAGAAAGGAATTTACAACCCTTAATCCTAAAATAATAATCAATAATCAGTAGTCTATCTACTAAATGTTATGCGAGTGAGATATTCTTGTGAATAGTGTGGTAGTGTGTTATTTATTTGGAATATTTATCTTATTATTATGTTATAAAGACTTGAACATTAGTGTATATAGGCAGGGAGGAAATAAGTGTGAATACCTGAATTGTAATAAAACTAGGAGAACCAGCGCAGAAATAACTTTTTCGTTTTCCACTTGACGAAAATCGACTAAAACAATGGATTTTGAATTCTGGTAAGTAGTTAGGTACTTAAATATAAATTATAATATCTAATTATTTGTATATAGTTGCGGCACGAATTGAATGGTCTTGCGTCACGGGTGACGTAACGCAGATGTTTTTATTAACCTTCTTTTTTGTAATTTAGTGTAATATATACCTAGGGTAGACATTTCGTATACCTAATATAGGTACCTACCTATACCTAGTTTTATTATTCTTAGTTGTCAACATAATTTTCAACAGTTTGTCGAGATAAAGACAATACAATTTTTACATTTTTGTACTGTAATTTAGTGTAAATACTTAGTTTTATTATTCTCAGTTGTAGTTTCTTAAATATTTTGAATGAATTATTCATTTGTTCTGTAAAATCTTGCCGCAACTATAATACATACTGTGATAAATTTTAAAATAGGTATCTACATAAGTATTTTCAAAATATTAAAGTTGTATATAAGTAAGTATTTAAAATAACTCAAAAAATACATAACGCAATAGTAATATTACTAAATAAATATCTATTTCCATTCAATCGCACTGAGAAATTTTTTTCATAGCCACAGCCAAAAAATTTGGCAAAATAGGCGCCAGCAAAGTTGTTTACTATTATAGGGAACTCACTTTATTATTCTAACCTTAGTTGTAGTAGCAGAATTACTTAATAAAAACCTCTTTACTATTATACTTCTGTAACTTTACTCTCACAGGAAAGTACTTTCTTGTGGCTGTAAAGAGCTTATAGCTATATCAGCAGAATACCATACTACTGCAAAATAAAACTATTTCATTTCTAGAACTTAATTTACTGTTGTAGGAACATACTTTAACACGAAAGTTCTTGCCAGTAGAAAGTAAAATATTTTACTAGTATAGCAACAGCTTCTTTTAGTAGGTGGAAGTAGCACTTTCCTGTTACTGTGAATTCTTTTTTCGAATTTTGGTTTTCAAAAAAATTCATTCGTAACAAAAAATACCTAATACACGACAAAAATAAATTAATTTTAGTAATGCAAATTTTATGTGTATAGGTACCATAAAATATGAAAAATTAAATAAAACAACATATTGCAATTTCTAATTTATCAGAGAATTTTCTTTGGTAACAAGTTATATTAAGATTTTTACACAATAAATTTTAATTTTTCAGTTCAATACATTTAAAAAAATACACAGCTAGTCTCGTTACTAAAGAAATTCAGATAAATTCTAATTAGTAATGTTTTACTTAATTTTTTATATTCCACGGTCACTTATGGTCTCATACACAAAACTGCATTACCAAAAGTAATTTTCGTCATGCGTTGGGTATAAGTAGACAATAGTAAAAGATAGAAACAGCTACTGAGGAAAAGAAAAATTTGTAGCAGGAAATTAGGCAAGTTTAAAAGTATATAAAATCCTATCTACAGAGTATCCAAAAACTCTACCTACATATAAAAATGACTAATTATAAAAGAAACATGAAAACCACAAATGATATTTACAGAAAAATTTCTGGACAAACGTATTCGTTTACTTACTTACTGTTTTCTTAATTTTCCAAATTTTGTTTATTCGAAATATCGACCTGTCGGGTTTTAATAGAAACAACCTGTAGATACCTATATACATATATAAATAACAATTTATTACGTGTACAGGGAGATTCACTATATTTTGACCCCCATTTATCTTTTTTGTTATAAGAGTTATAAAAAAATACAAAAGTTGCACGATTTTTTATGAAGTTTTCAAAACTATTAGCAGAAAAATAAATGAAGTCCAAACAAAATGACCGCGGATGTTAACTTTGTTAATTTAAATTGAACACCCTGCATATTTTTACATATTTGGATAGAACGTTCCTTGTTGAGTACAGTCATATAGGGTTTGTTGGGTTCATCTCTAACAATAAGCGTAATAATATTAAAAAATGAAAAGAAGGTTTTTTTTATTAAGAAAATAAGACATCTTGTAATTGTTAGACCTGTTTCAGGCATTTCTGCCTTTATTCCAATTACGTAAGGATTTACAGATTTAGTTGTAATATATTTTGACATATCGGACATCGATACGGTCCAAAATGCATATAAATATTTTAACTAAATCTCACTAATTGGATCGTGTGAGGCCTAATTACTCATGGACAATGTTATATGGTAGGTCGTGACAATGGAAGGTAGTAATGTCATGATAACATTGTTATTGATTGGCAGTTTGTATTATTATTTAATTAAAATGGGTTGTCACAGAAATTGAAAATATTATTAGGAATTAAAATAGAGTATGGAGAATAACTTACTTTATTTTAATTACCATAAATTTTCAATTTTCTACTTCTGTGTAACCCATTTTAATTAAATAATAATACAAACTGTCAAACAATAGCAATGTTGTCATAACATCACCTGTCACTGTCATGGCCTACCATATAACATTGTCCACGAGTAAATAGGCCTCTCACGGCCTAATTAGTGATATTTAGTTAAAATACCTACACGCATTTTGAACCTTATCCATGTCATATATAACAAAATATCCAAATCTGTAAATCCTTATGTAATTGGAAAAAAGGTAGAAATGCCTGAAAGAGGTCTAACAATTACAAGATGTCTTATTTATTTAATAAAAAAAAAACTTCTTTTCATTTTTTAATATTATCTCGCTTATTGTTAGAAATGGATCCAACAAACCTTCTATGACTATGCTCGACAGGGAACGTTCTATCCAAATATGTAAAAATATACAGGGTATTCCATTTAAATTAACAAAGTTAACATCCGCGACCATTTTGTTTCGACTTCATTTGTTTTTCTACTATCATTTTCGAAAACTTCATAAAAAATCGTGCAACTTTTGTATTTCACATTTATTTATTTATTTTTATTTTTTTTTAACTCTTAAAACGAAGATAATGGAGGGGTCAAAATATAGTGAATCACCCTGTACAATTATACATATACTTACTTATAAATTTATTTTCTAGGCAATGCATCTCTGGAGCTTTTTGATAGAGAGGAACTGAGAAATAAATGTTTGTGTTCTGATCACTTTGAGGAAAACGCTTATGCTTCAGAGAAGAAAATTAAATTGAAAAAAAACGACTATTCCTATAAGTTATCTAGATGTGCCATCTAGCAGCCATGATCAAGAATTAAAGGTTTTAACTCCAAGAAAAACCTACAAAACTATCTTCTG